CCCACCCGAGACCGGGAAGGGCAGGGATGACAAGGTGGAAGTTGCGTGACCACTATCGACATCCTCGGGTTCGGTGAAGAGCTTGACGAGGTGGCCCAGCGAAAGGTTCGTGAAGGGGAAAGGCGGCAGCAGCAGCAGAGGGACGGCGGCTGGCCTTGGTGAGCGGACGTGGATGAAGTGAATCCTCACAGGCGCCTCTGCGTCAGGCACGCTGATGTTGATACGGAACTGAGGGAGCTTTTCGTTCAACTCTTCCTCTTTCTGCCTCCACGAATACTGTTCCATCCTGCAAATGGCAGACGAGAGACCCAGTCAGTCGAGAACAGGGCAGTGGTCACAGCCAGACTGTTTGCTGGCGAAGAGGCACTCACCAAAAGTCAATCAGCGGCTCGACCTGGGGCTTGGGCTCCCACCAGTCCGCCGACGTGGGCTTCGGAACTTCATGGGGGAGCCTCGTGAGCTCAAGCTTGCGCTTGGTGAGATCGAGATACTTGCTCGACACCTAGAAAGGGTATTGTGGTCAGTCCACAGCACAGCCAGAACATCACATGGCAAGCCGCACGACGTACGTGGATGCGATATGGCTTGATTTCGTCATCGCCCGGCCCTCCATGGGACTCCACCGTATCGGTCATATCGTCGTAAAATTTCAATGTCTCTTGTCGCGTCAATGTCGTGAGTTCATGTAGTCTTCTCGGGTGGCAGCCGCGAGGGGATCTGGAGGGTTCGCAACAAAACAAACACACGACGACCCATGCCTCGTGTAAAAGGACCGAGGCCAAGGGTCCAGGGTAATTAACAGACGAGAAGGTGTCCTGGTTGAGCAGCATCAGTAGAAACAGCAGCCCTCGGGCCGCCAATGGATGGATGCATGGTCTCGTCTGCTTTGATGAAAGGGTCAAAGGTCCAATGTCCCCTGCCCTGGTCCTGCCCTGTAGGTGCTATCGCCAAGGATCCGCACGCGCCAAGTGGGCGCAACAGGGCCGGAGGTGTGGCTTGAACACGCGTCAGCCCGGACGATGTGGCTCGACACCGTTTCACGTTGTGGCGCCGTCGCGGGTCCAGAACCGAGATGGACTCAACGTCGCCAATGAGAGGTCGTAAAGCTCCGCATCATGGCCTCCACCAGAGCTCACGTCCTTGATCTGGACCCTGGGACGGCGGCCCGCTATGTGGCGGTGCACACGATATCCTAGCGTCCTGGGAAATGATCTTCTCAACGCCACCAGGCGTACCCAGTACATCGGACATGATGTGTCCCAAATGACGAATCAATGCCCTGGCTCCCGCTGTATTGAACGTCGTATTGTGCCAACTGTCCGGTTGCCTTTCATGTGCCTTATTGGCCGTTGTTGGACTGTCATCGCTCACCGTTGCCCACGTTGACGCAGTCATGCAACTTGTCGCCACTGGTCCTGCCAATCCCACCAACGCTGGTCGAGTGGCTCGCTGGGTGTGGCGTCAAGGTCATGGACAGCATCATTCCAAGGCCTCCATCCTCAATGAACAGATCTAGTTTCCTGACAGCATTGGAGGCCGCTCAAAGTAGAGTGAACCTCGAATGGATTCAGTTCACTCGTGTCGAAAGCTGCCGTGGGGTGCGTTACCAGCTCAGCCAAGGAGAATGTCGCTCACGTGACATCCGAGACAAACACCACCGCCATTTACTCTCCGCCTCTAGGCTCAATACTGATCACATTTGATAGTACAACTCGGCTGGCAGCGCAACCTCACATAAGCGCTGATTGATGCCCCTGACTTGAGGGCCACGTCAGGTGTTGTTTCTTGCTCTCGCTAATTATTCGACCTGGTTCATCTGCCGATGGCCCGAACTGGTTGTGTCAGCAGCGATGAAGCTGCCATCGAGAGGCAAGGCGACGACATTATTCGCCTCTGATCATACCATAGGCGAGATTTTGATCTCGTCGTCATTCATCCACGCCCACATGACATGCTGCCAGTGCTTACATCCATCGCCACAGCCTCGGGATGAAAACCACCAGCCCCTTTGGGAGGATTGAATGCGCTGCCACCGGAGCTTACATCGATGATCAATTTCCAATTGGACGTCCGCTCTGCTTTCCGCTTTCGCCGAGTCAATTGTTTGGGCCGCTCCATCATTTCGGATATCCAGGAGTATCGCCTCGTCGCTGAACACGGTCTCGAGGGCCCGAGGGGCCTTTTGCGAGCCGGGCTCGCTCAAAGTCACCTTCTCCGCGACCTCTATCGGGCTCTATTGTTGCATCCCTGTGCATCATGCGGCTTCTTCGGCTGTCCTCTTCACGTTAGAGAGATGCTGTTTCAACTGTCTTCAATCGTCCGAACGCTACCACGTCATTGCCCAATCCCCCTTTTCCAGCCTTGCTAAAGTCTCACGCACCAGACTTGACCGCTTTCCAGGATGTATTACGACTGTACCAGACGTTTACAACATGCTGAGGTGCAGCAAAAGACCCGATTTTCACGTTTCCGAGTTCAAGACCACCCCTACACTGCTCGCCAGTGGCATGATGAGCGACGACAAAGCTCACAAACCGAAACTCCGGCCAGGGCAGTCAGCCCATTGCTTCATGGCAGTGACTGCGTTTCCATCCTACAATTTGAACAGCGCCACGATTGATCATGGCATCAGTTGCAAAGGCTGTCAAGTCCGCTTCGACAAGCTACGCGTTGATCCAGCCGATCAAAACAGGTGATTCTCACAAAAAGGATTCCCATTTCCCAGAGTGCCCCGAAGCAGTGCAGCTCTGGGCCGAGAGCCGAGAGGGCACATGTTCGGTCGACGAGCCAGAGTCCACTCGCCGGTGCGGGTTCCTCAATCTTTTCGGACTCGATGGATTACCTACGTAAAGAACGAGTTGCCTGTTCTACTCACACGGCACCACACCGACTTGTTCTGCCGTGTCGGAAGTACCCATGTCTTCCCACGATGATGTGGGAGATGATGCAATCCATCGCCATTGTGTAGCTTGCAGTGCACATGGCTCCTAAGTAACGAAACTCGAATCTGGTGGTGCCTTCATCTGCAATATCGTCCATCCAGCACCATGCACCCGATCGTTGTAATTCTCACCTGCCAACTAACCTAAACTCCAGAGCTTATGCACTACTATCACATTTGAAAACAAGAAGCTCTTGCCACATTTGAGTGGCAGATTTGTTGCGTCTGGATTGATTTACGGAAGTCTTGGTACTGAAGCCTTCAGTGTTCATGGGCTCTTGACGATACAATCGTCTATTCTCCTGACAGCCTGATGCATTATCACTGCGGGGAGCAGTTCTAAATCGATGAGGTCAGAGTAACTGATGAGCAAGGAGCCCACTGAGTCCCGTCGTCCTTGCCGAGAGAGTTGACGCGTATGCACTCTGAAAGCGCAATCGTCGACTGCTTTTCAAGCTTCTGGTACGCTGGTACGCGGAACCAGAGGCGTTACGTGAAATCGGCGCAGAATGAGCTGGGTTGTGCGTGTTCAGGGCCTTCTTGCTTCATGGCACATCTCAAGTCCACAGAGCTATCCGCAATGCGAAGGCAAGGCAAGATCACAACTCTTATTGTCTTCACACCTGCCCAACTGGCTTCTTGGTATACTATTCCGCTTCCTGCCGTCATTTCTGCCTTGTATGTGTGAATGAAGTTCCCTTTGACACGCCTGCCTTCAAGGAATTCGAGGCGATGCATTCGTCTGACCAGTGCTCCCACCAGTACCGACACCTGCAGCCCCCGCCGCTCCGCCGCGAATATTCATAGCTCCAATACGGGACACAATGTTGCTCCCCACGGCGTCGACAGCACCCCGCGGTGAGGTCAGCGTAGGGCCCTCAGCCGCCGTCTCCTGTACTCGGAAGAGCTTGATGGCTGTGCCGTTCCAGACGCCCGCCGTTCCTCGAGCCACTTGAATCTCGCTGCTGAAGACAAAACTCCACACAAGCGACTCGTACCAGCCGAGCGCGAGTTGAGACCACTCAAACGAGTGTACCCGGACAGGCGCAGGGTCGACGCCCACGAGCTGGATCTCCTCGATCCTCTGCAGCGTCTCGGCCGACGCCGACTCGTTGGCGATCGTCTGGCGGGGCAGCAGAGCAGACACCTGCTGAATCACCGTGAGTATTGTGTGCAGCGGCAGCTCGGGCAGCCAGCTCTCGATCCAGTGCGGCGTCGGCTCGAAGGCCCCGCTGGTCGATCCGCCGCTCGCCGAGTAGCCACCGAGACTTGTTGTGCTATTTTGTCTTGAAAAGTTGCCCACGCCGGCGGGCATCTTGCCTCGAGCCTTCTCCGACATACCGCGCACCTGTGTCGGCACGGCGTCCTCGACATTCGAAGCCTGCGATGACGCCATGGATACGCTATCGCTCGTTGTTGATCGGGCTGCGTCGGCTGTGATCGTCGTCGCTGTCATCTTCATCATCTCAATGGCGAACGTGTCGTCCTCTTCTTGCACGTTGCTGAGAGA